TGTGAGCTCACTTCTGAAATTCTGTAGTGCCCGAAACGGTCTAGGTGGACACACTGGGGGACCATGGGCGGGAGGAGTTGAGGGACGCCCCGATCCTCCATCTGGAGGGGCGCAGAAACCCCTCAATCTAAGACAAGGCAGGTTGCTCCTGCCAGTTGGCACATGGCCATCGTCTAATCTGTAGTTTTGCTTCCTCGGAGTCGGAAGATTGTTTTGGTTTTGCTTCCATAGAGTTGGAAGACTGTATTTGTCTGTGTTTGTGTTTTTTTTTCTGTTTTCTGTGGACTTACTGGACGGACGTTATGGGACAGACTCAAACTACTCCTTTAAGCATTATGGTCGTTTTAAAGTCAAGGGCTGGGCCAAACCTGCTTGCCAGCCTCAGGTGTGGTTCTCCAGGGCCACTGCGGTGAGCCTTGAAGCCTAGGGCGCAGGCCCGGCTAGAGCCGTCACAAGTGCAGATCTTGGTAGTAGTAGCAGATAATTTAAAGTCCTTCTTGTAATTGAAAAGTTTTACAAAATTTAAAAATGCGTCTGGGATTTCAGTGCATGTGTAAGGAGAAAAGCAGGCTTAAAACTAATGCACGCATAGTCCGATTTTGGATAGAGTTTTGAGCTGAAGTCTCTTTGCAAATGTGCAGGATGGAGCCCAAGACTGATTATTTACCCAAAGGAAAAAAAGATGCTAGCTAGATTCTAGCAGAAAGATTGGCATTTCCATAATAAAGAACAGTTTTTAAATGCTAACTAAGGGTGTTAAGGCTGGCTTCCCAAGGCAATTTCTAATGAAGGGGCTAGTAGCTTCCCACCTGTAGCAAAATCTTAAAAGAAAGAATGTGGTCAATTTACATCTGAAAAGACCAGGTAGGCCAGAACCTGTTTTGCAAGGCTCAAATGTGGTTTTCCAGAACCGCTTGAAAGTAAAAAGTAAAGTTTATTCTTAAAGATGTTACTGATTGAGAAATGCTGAATATCTGACTTGCCAGCTAAAAGTTTTAGGTTCAGATTGAATTGGGAAAAATTGTATAATTGTGGTAACTAAATGCCTTTGCTTATTGGTCTGATTGAGAAGGGAGGATTGATTTTGTGACCTCAACTGAAGATTTTTGATGCAAGGACCAGTTTAAATTTAATTGATATTCTTTAAGATAATTATAAAAGGTATAAACAGCTAATGAGATTTCAGTTTATCTGTAATATAATGTTGGCCATCTATCTTTTAGGGATCCTGATTTGCAAAAAACAGTGTAGACAGGCACCATTTTGGGCTGCATGACTTAGCAGCCGCCATGTCAGCCACATGGCTAGCGGCTCCCCTGGGGGCCGCCATCTTGAAACAGCAAAGGCCCCTCCCTCTGATTTAGTCAATCAGTGTCTGCTCACTGAGGCAGGCTGGGATTTCAGGGGTGGAGTTTTAAGGCGGAGCTTTACTGCTAATCTCTTAAATCTAGAAAACCCTGCTTTCCTTAAACTAAGGACAATTAAAGGTTATGTCAAAGTCTTTAAAAGGGACTGATAGCAGTAATCCAATTTCTAAAGTGACGATTATTTCAGGTAGAAACTGTGGTTTAGATAACATGCCTAAGTTTAACCTAGGTTACCCAAGGACTCTAGATAATGTGTTTACCCAAAACTGTAATTTAGATGGCATGCTGTCTCTGCTTCTGTAAATTGCTTTTTTTGAAAACCAGGTTCCTCATTCCAAACCTTGGGGTGTGGTCAATACCTTTGTGATTTTTTGACTGGCTCTGTTCAGGGACTTGTTGTGATTCAAAGTCTTTAATGGGAAATGTTATCTGTCTTTATTGTTTAAATATATATCTTTGTTGTTTTAAATTGTTTAGCTAGTAAAATTTCTGTTTGTGTCTCTTAAAAATATGAATGTATTGCTAATTTGAGGCTATTTGTTCATGTAAATGTGGAAATCTGCAGAAGAAAAAAAACCACACGCTTGATTCCTTTGAGGCTGAGAGCTCTGACCGATAGCAAAACACTCTGAGCGGCCACTGGGATCTTTCCCCAAGGGCGCTTGCTCTCTGTCAGAGGTGGAATCAGCCCACCTAACTAGTAAACATCTCTGTCTGTTTGCTGGGAACTTTGATTTGCTATGTGATATTCTGTTCTGGGTTGGGATTTTGGAATTCTGGGGTAGATTTAAAAGGTATTTGTAACTTTTCTAGTCTGATTGGGACATTTAGGGGTAGGGTTCACAATTCCTCAGGGCAGAGATTATATGGGCCCCCCCTGCCTGTACTGAATTAAATAATACAGGCCAGTGTCATTTGGCTTGCTGGTTAAAGGAAGGCAATGGGCCCTAGATGAAAATCAAGAACTATCTCTTTCCTTGAGAGGGCTCCAGAGGGCACACGAGGACATTTGGCCGCGCCTCCGCGCCATCTACGAGACCAGCCCAACCCTCACTCCTCATCAGCACAGACCAGGAGATTGGGTCTATGTCAGAAGGCACCACCGGGAAACCCTCAAGCCACGTTGGAAGGGTCCCTACACTGTGGTGCTGACGACCCCCACTGCTCTCAAGGTAGATGGCATCGCGACCTGGGTCCATCACACTCATGTCCAGTCAGCGGACCCATCCGTGATCTGGGAAGACTTCATCACCAAATGGAGCATCGATCGAGATCAACACTACCTGCTCAAGCTCAAGCTACAGTGTGCTCAACCTGCCTGATACTGGTAACATTGCTCGCAATCACTCCTGCTACTGGGAGCCCCCACAATACCGTATAATAGACCTAGATGATGCCTGCATCTTCATGAACATGGCTCCAAAGAGACAAGAACAATTTATAGGAAGGTCAAGAGTAGACTTTAGTGTCAAATGTTTAGTAGCAGAAGATTTGGCTGCCTGAAGCAGCGATGATGCCAATATTATGTTTCATTGTATTGATATGTTATAGAGATCTTTGATTCTTTTGCAGGTTTGAATGTATGTTGGCTGTCCTGGAAGGGGACTGTGTGGGGTGAACCCCAAAAGTAAAGGGTGTCTAGCTGTCAAAAGGGCAGGTACCCAACTGGGCAGGGAAGAGTGCCTATCAGGTTTTGGTCTCTGTTGAGAGACAGTTGATGGTTGGCAGCCTGTATACTGTCTTGCAGGCCTGCATGACCATGCCCATGTCAGGGGCAGTACAAACCTCAACTGTAGAGAGCTGGGAAAGGCTTGTTTGGAATAGAAGGTTTGAGGCATAGTTATGCATAGAAAGAAGGTTTAATGCCAACAGTTACTGTTTTGTTATAACTCTGAAGAATACATGAAAAGGAATTGGCAAGGAAAGTCAGAAACTCTTAGAGCAGATCAATATGTTTTTCTCCTTATATAATTCCTCTGAAATATTGGCAATGCTAAATAAGTCATGGCAATACATTTCTTTGCATAGATTCAATAAGATTGGTTCCTAATAGTGGTTTTATTAACGGAAAACTTTGACTGGAGTATCATGTTTTAAAGAGACCTGTCTGAGCTCTAAGACTTGAAGCCGGTAAGAATGCCACAAAGAAAGCCTGGAATCCTGCTTGGGAGCCCTGAAGATGGCTGGAGCTGGAGCGTCAGGTCCATGCCCTAGCATCACTGGCGGTTGGTCAGAGTAGAAGGGGAGCAATAAGGATGCCTCTGCATCCCTGCAGAACCCCCACTCACTCTAGGCCGCAACGAGTAGGAGGGCTACTGAGATGGGCCTTAAAGCCTAGAGCGTGGGTTCAGGTGGAGTTGCTACAGGTGAGGGATTCACCCAACTCAGCAGATACTGCAGGCAGGCCTGAAGGCAGCTGGATGGCTTGGCTTCCTGGCCCTACGCGGCACATTAAGATTCAACCATGAGATTCCAGCAAAGGTGGTCGGTTACCATTCTTGTGTTTATGCAAACATCAGGCCAAATTGAATACAGTAGATAAATTAATCTTGATTTGGCTTTTTGATAGCCATAGAGGAATTTTAAGAAGAAAAATCCTATTTCAATAGAAGTTGTTAAAGCTAAAATGTTTTCCAATGATAATCAAGGGTAGTGCACGCCATAGATATGACCACATCCTGTGTAACAAGACACCAACTTGTGCCTGGCCAATCGGCAAGGCCCACAGTCCTTTCTCCTCCCCTTACTCCAACCCCCTATAACTCCTCTTCCCACAGGGCTAGCTCTCTCTCTGCCACTTGCTGCTGCATCAGTAAGGAGGGTAGGGGAGCCAAGGCCGGGGTTGAATAAACACTCTTATGCTTTTGCATCGGAAAAAATAAAATATAATAAATAAAATAAAATAATAAAATAAATAGAATAGAATAGATAAAATAAAATAAAATAAATAGAATAGAATAGAATAAATAACATAAAATAAAATAAATAAAATACAATAAAATAAATAGAATAGAATAAATAAAATAAAGTTAGGTAAGGAAAAATTTTAGAAACCAAACCATAGACACATAAAATTTCTTCTAAGCAATGCAAATAAGCATGGGTACATAGACACTTAAGACACAAAAGTGCATGAATGGAGGTAAAGGTTTGTGAGCTTTGTTTTTCTTAATAGTCCAGGTTAATAAATAAGATTTGTACTACAAGAGTTAGTGGTTAATATTCCGGTGACATCTTTCCCCATACATCCATTACCTGGAAACTTATCAGAAACTAGTCAAAATGAGTACCGCTAGAAAACAAACTTTTTCTAATAAAAGAAATATCATCACTGGGTAAATTAAGTAAGATCTTTCTATCTCATGCATAATCAATAGAGAGAAAATTTTTTTCCGCACATAAAGTAGTTCTAGTACTGTAACCGTCCAAGAATTATGGAAACCATAAAGTGAACTCTACAAATTAGTTACCATATTCTCTATCTCTAATTCAGGATGGAACCCATGTATTTTGTAAACATAAAGTAAAACAAATGATTCTTAATTCTTACAAAGATTTTTTAATTAAAGTAAAATCTGTAATTAATATTTTTATTAAGGTACAAGTGTTTCATCGTTCTACTTTTAATCTTACCCTTATCTGTTCCGTGGAGCTGCTGCTAAGTTCATCACCAGACTCAGAATCCTGATGGGCCCTTTCTGAGACTTCTGCTGAATCGCAAGACTGTTCCTGGGAGAAGCTAGTTTTCTCTATGTCCAAGAACTCTGGACCAGGAAAGTGACCAAATAAGCGCGTCCTATTCTGACTGGAAACTTTAGGTGAATGTGAATCACTGCTAAACTTTCCATTATTGTGGGTGAGGTCCAGGCTTAGGTTGACAGTATGACTTGGATCATAACTGGATCCAAAATTCTGATTGGCATCACGAATAAGACCTGTTCCTTGAATAGACAATGATGGCTTTCCAAAACTTGAAAGCTCAGGCAATTTGTTCACATTTTCTGTTGATCTCTGAAGATGCAGGCTCTGGATCACTTTCATAGAATTATTTGGCAGTCCAGCTGCCTGTTTAACAGGCGGCATCAGAGCTTTGCGGGTGACTTCCTTAACATATTGGGCTGGCACATAAAATGCTTTAGAATTCTCATCTGGTTTGACTTGCCACCAGTCATCGTTCGTCTTTTTCACCAATATGTATCTTTCCCCTTGTCTTATCACAATCTTTCTGTCCTTTGCTTCATATTCATAATCATATTCCACTTCGATATACACTTGTCCTGAAACAATCTTGCCACTTCTGTCAGCCATTTTTATTCAATAATATTCACCTCTCAAAAAGCATCGTATGCCACATGATCGCCTTATATCTTGTTGGATTAATATGGCTATTGTTATTTAAACAGAAGAACAGAATGAAGAAACAAGTTAATACAGTCTGGATTTTTTATATTTACTCACAAGCATCACATAATACAAGCCATTTATTACATGCAAATCTCAAACTCAGAAAGTAAACATGAATCTAATGTTTTCTATTGTCCTATATTAGAAAACTCTCATAATACTGTAATGTACACTTTTCAGTCATTTATGACCAATACCAAACCAATAACTGGAATAGTAAATACACTACTAACCAGTCAGACACAAGACTATCAAAAATAAGAGGTGAGAAGAACTTTCCTTCTTTTCATGACTACCTCAAACCTCCTTCACTTTCTTAGAAAGGCTCAGTAATAATAGGCACTTACCATGGACCAGGCACTGATCTAGGTTCACTGTATGCCTTAACTAAGATCATCTTTGAAGTTGGAGTTGAATTTCAATGAAATTGTACTCTTCATTTTTTAAAATGATCAAGAGCATTAATGAGTTTTAAAAAACACTATCCAGCCCAGACAGTGTTGCCCAGTGATTGAGCACCGACCTATGAATCAGGAAGTCACAATTCGATTCCTTGTCAGGGCACATGCTCAGATTTCGGGCTCAATCCCCAGTGGAGGGCATACAGGAGGCAGTCAATCAATGATTCTCTCTAATCATTTATGTTTCTCTCTCTCTCTCTCTCTCTCTCTCTCTCTCTCTCTCTCTCTCTCTCTCTCTCTCTCTCTCTCTCTCTCTCTCTCTCTCTCTCTCTCTCTCTCTCTCTCTCTCTCTCTCTCTCTCTCTCTCTCTCTCTCTCTCTCTCTCTCCTTCTCCCTTCCTCTCTGAAATCAATGAAAATACATTTTTTAAAAAGTTATCCAGCCCTAAATGATTTGGCTCAGCGGATAGAGCGTCGGTCTGTGGACTCAAGGGTCCCAGGTTCGATTCCGGTCAAGGGCATGTACCTTGGTTGCAGGCACATCCCCAGTAGGGGGGCGTGCAAGAGGCAGCTGATCTATGTTTCTCGCTCATCGATGTTTCTAACTCTCTATCCCTCTCCCCTCCTCTCTGCAAAAAATCAATAAAATATATATTAAAAAAAAGTTATCCAATTATACGTTTCATTTCCTAATATAAAAAATGCAGCATTATTATTTTTAGACAAAATACACTGAAAAAGAAACTGCTAATTTACTTTGTTTTCCTTTTATGTCTACCTCAGGAGGGCCATGATTCTTATTAGGTTGAATCCCACAAATGCCAACAAATAATCAGTATTTGTATTAGTAAATGTTAAAAATCTACCGCCACCACCCCAAAGCCATTCAAAGTCTATTAAAAATAGCCCTAAATTGGCTTAAGAAATTTAGTTTTTACTTTGTTTTTTTTAATCCTCACCTGAAGATATGTTTATTGGTGCAAGGGAGAGAAACATCGATGTGAGAGAGAAACATAGATCAGTTGCCTGCCGTATGCACCCCAACCGGGGATTGAACCTGCAACCTAGGTATGTGCCCTGATTGGGACACGAACCCACAACCTTTTGGTGTATGGGACGATGCTCCAACCAAGTGAGTCACCCAGTCAGTGCTCTAGTTTTCACTTTAATTTCTATACAAATTCCAAAATATTTTGTACCTCATAGAACAAAACATTCAAACTTCAAAATGATCATAGCATTTCAATATTACTACAACTCAAGTCAAGCTACAACCACAGTGGGATGAAGTGTCTTCCCCCAAAAAAGGTATGTTGAAGTCCTAAAACCAGGACCTGCAAAGACCTTATTTGGAATTAGGGTCTGTGCAGATGTAATCTATTTAAGATGAAGTTATACATGATTAGGGCGAGCCCCAAAATCCAATGACTGGTGTCTTCATAAGGAGAAGGAGATTCGAAAACCATGAGAGGAGACCCAGAAGAAAAAAGCCCATATGATCACAAAGGCAGAAATTGGAGTGATTCAGGTATAAGCCAAAATGCCAAGGATGGTGGAAAGAAGCAAGAAAGGACCCTTCCCTAGAGCCTTCAGAGGGAGAGCAGACTTATTGATGCCTTTATTTTGGACAGCCAGCTTCCAGACTCTGAGAGAATAAATTTTTGTTGTTTTAAGCCACTCACTTTGTGCACTCTATTACAGCAGCCCTAGGAAACTAATACACTCAACCCAAAGCTCACAGATCAAACCTTAGCAATTCTGAATATTAAGCATACCAAAAATATTTACCCAAGGTCCCATGGCAACCTGCCAATTTTCCTCAGCACCCAAGTACTGTATGCTATATGTGCAGTAACTAACCAGCATTCCCCTGAGGATAATTATTCTCTGTGACAGATAACCCCATAAGCCCCATTGATAAATAAGTTAGTGATACATCAGTAACTAAAATTTACTTTCTAGACAAACTACGTGAATAACAAATTTAATACAGTAATGTTGTTTCAAAAATAAAAATAAAACTTACCTTAGAAGGAGACAGAAATATCCAGTATTAATTTAAACCTATAAAAAAAAATAAAGTTCGTTAAGTTTGGTCAGAATTGCTTAAAGAAAGCTATAAGTACAATGCTGCTCACATTTTAGAAGCACAACTTTTTGTCTACAAGGAACACAGTACTATTTTATATGCCACCACCGTGTCAGCAACATCCTCCAAACACAGGTACACTTTACCACTGCCTTTCCCACTTCATTTCCACATTGTCTCAACTTCATTTCTGCCTCTTATTTTTATTCTGACAGAATACCTTTTTAAACTTCTAATAACATGAGAAACAACTTTTGTAAAATTGTTAAAATTACAACTATTTTTCAAGTTTATGTATTGAGTGGTTAAAGAGAATGAAAACACATATTGAAAGTTATTGGGAGCCCTAACATTTCCCCACAGATTACTTACTAATTATAAATGGGGAAATATACCAAGTGATCAAACTTAGCAACACCAACAGTGGGATAGACAACCTGATAAAATATATGCCTCCTAAGGGGATGCAACAAGATGTTACAATGTCACCTAAATTGTACTCTTGCCGAAAAAAGGTTTAACCTTACCGCTAATCATTAGGATACAAACAAATCCAGAATGTGAGACATTCTATTAGACAAAAGACCTGAATTCTTTTTTAAAAAATTCAATTTCATAAAAAAATGAAAAAGGGAGATTCTTCTAGATTAAAAGTGACTACAGACAATAGCCAAATCTACTTGGTGTTTTAATACCTAAAACTTACCATCCCAAAATCCGCTTCCTATCTCTACCCCACACCAGCCCTGGCAAATCTACATGGTATATCCCCTCACATGAAATAGAAATTCTAACGTTCCAAAGGTCCAACCTTTATTTTCATGCATTACTGGGACATTAGTCACTATGTGCTTTAATCTTTTTACCTACATATCTTTTTCACTACTTTTCGAAATTCCAGACTGAAATATTTATCCTCCGGTGGTGTTTTTTTTTTTCTTTTTCTTTCCAGGAAGTAATGAAATAACTTAAGAAATACCTTTGAAGATAGTGAAACAAGTAAGGGTACATGCAGAAAATTATTGTAGCTCAGGCATACTATAATTGGTCAAACATTTATCCGTAGGAATGGAGAAAAGTATGACGAATAACAAGTAAACTGTATGATTTCATGCTGGTCAGAGAGGGGCTGTGGGCTGGGAAGCAACACTGGGTTAAAGGTCAATCTATGTTCCATCTCTTTCACTGCCAGGTTTTATAACTACACCTTCCCCAGTGACTAGAAGAAGGAGGTGCTAGGAAGAAAGATAAAGAAGTCAACTTAACCATGTTCAACATGAGACATCCAATCTACAGTTTTAGTTAAAGGCAATGAGAACTGTGAGGACAAGGAAGACAAGTAGTCAAAACACTACCTATGCAAAAAAGGTAGTTAGATATCAAGGCAGATGGCATGAGCAAAAGTGGGCACAATGTAATAAGAGCACAGGAGCTGAGATAGATTTCTAGGTAATACTGGGATAGTAGATGGGGAATGAAATGGTGAAGCCCCTAAGAGAGGCTAATCTACACTAATAAAAGAGAAACATGGTAACTGGCGTACCATCGCTACCCTTCCCATTGGCTAATCAGCGAGATATGAAAATTAACTGGCAGCCAAGATGGCGGCCGGCAGCCAGGCAGCTGATGCGAACAGGGAGGCTTGCTTGCTTCAGTGACGGAGGACTCCAACGTTCCCCGCCTGACTTG